AATTTTGTGGCGATCCACATCAGCCACTGGGGGGTCTGGTGGCAGCTGCATGATGCAGAGGTGCATCATGGGAGTTCAGTAAATAGAGAGGGCAGTTATAAAATTATAGTTAAAGTGTTCTTATGTGTTACCCCATTGTTGTTATGTGTTAGTGTTGCTGACTTATGCTGGTGTGTTATCTGACGATGTTTTACTAAGTTAATTGCTGTGCTGTGTTTTGGACCGTCAGTTTGGCTTGTATGTGTGAGACTGACCCTGGGGGAAGTGCCATTGTTCAGCAGACGAGGAGCCAGGTTAAAAGCAAGCGCGTCGGGAAAAACGGAGGAAATGTCCGAAAACCGAAAAATAAGCAGCATCTGGATGCATTTCAGTGATAATGGAGACTGCGAAGCTGAGTGCCCAGTTTGTAAAATGAAAATATCTGTCCGAGCAGGGTCAACAACAAACTTGCACAGACATCTAAGAACCGCCCATCCAAGCTGAGGCTTCTGGTATTTCTAAATGCCAACCTCCACTAAAGACTATTATCGAAAGTGTTATAATGTTAAGACTTTGATCTTTATTTGTTTGATTAGTTTGCTGTGGTTCTGTGTTCAGTTAATTTAAAGGTTTGATTAAAGGGGCGCCAAAAGAGCCGGCTTTTATAAGAGAGCGGAGCCAAAAGAGCCGAATCTGTGAAAAGAGCCGGACTTCCCATCACTAATTACAATATAATTATTATTACAATTTTTATATTATAGGCTAAAATATGCACGTTACATTATATTGAGCTACCAGACTTCACTGTACTGCATTTACATTATAAGTTGCTAAAAAAAGAACACTAAAGGACACAAACACTGTCACTGTTGCAGTGCCAGCTGGAGGACAGTTCACTGCAGAGCTGACGAGCTCCCATGCAATATTCGTTACAATATCGCCATCTAGTGGCGCTATTTGGTACATTTCAATAGCAATGTGATAAACAGAGTTATTTCTAACTTGTAGGCTACTGGTGGGTGTCTCTCACCATTTGACTGAACTAGTGTTATTAAAAGTGCATTTTTGCTCTCTAAATGTTAGGGATATTATTATGAAATCCGTGTGTTTAAAAGAAAAACGGTTATGAAATGACCTCGTGCCTTGCACGTTTGTACGTAATGACGTCACGCGGACCCTTCCCAAAGAGAAGTCGGATATGGCTTCCATGTTACAGTCAGACGTTTTCCTGTGGCTGAGATGTTGTTAGCAAAGAGCCACCTTCTTAGCTAAAATTATGTCCGTTACGCCAAAATGAGCAAGATGTTAACGGAGCATGGTGAGTGCTGAACACTCAGCTAAACCTTAACCCATTCGGTCCGCATTTGCACTAACGTTAAGTAAAAGAGCTTTTGAAAGCGGCGGGAACTTATTTGCTCGAGATAACCGAAATGGTGCCATGGCACTGCAATAATAATGACTTTGTCGTCTCTGTATTATAAGCTTACAGTTTGAAATTTGTTTCCCCAGCGTCCCTTCCTTTCTCCTCTCTCCGTCTTATTGCCCCTCCTCTGCAGCTTGTGTCTGCAGCTCTGTGGAAGATAGTGAAGCAGGGAGCTGTGATGTACTACGGAGTCCTGGAGGAGTTCATCACCTCAGTGCTTGAAACAGCCCCTGAACTGCTCACTAGCACAGACGCAGTCCAACTAGTTATGGGTTTGCGTGCAAGGGTAAGACAAGACCTGCGGGATGCCCCACAATAGGACTAATTACAGTAGTGGTAATAATTCTGCAATGCATTGCTGCTACTGATTTCTACCTGTGATGTGACAACAGGCACTTGTCCGGTAAATGCACATGTACTTTTTGTACTCCACCGAGTGTAGTATTTGAATGAAAACTCATTTCCACCTGTAAAATAACATAAAATAAAATGTAAGTAGTCAAAATTAGCTCCACCTCAACCAGCTATAACTGTAACATGCCCAGCAGTGATGCATCAGTAATATTCAGTCAATAAAGCACTACAACACTGACAGGGGCCTAAGGGTACTTTTACATTTTGCTTATAATACTTGTAATGAAGTTTATGAGTAACAGATCTGAATACTTCCTCCACCACTGCTTGTCATCTAGTTTATTATATCAGCACTAAATAGCCATCAAAGAGTTTCTGTCCAATGTCAGTTGCAGTAGTCTGTGGAAAGTATGAGTAAACCAGAATGGCAATGTATAACACTGCAAATAAGTTCACACAGACTGAAGGACAGCAAATGACAGTAACAAGATGTATGCGTTAGAAAAAGTCAGTTAAGACAACCAGGTTTCCCATTCTCTGAGGAAACTGAACAAACTGGTTTAATCTGTGTTATTATACTTGGCCGAATGAACACATAACCCAGGAACATTAGTACCTGGACTTACTTTCAAGGTTCAAAGTTAAGGTCTAGCCACCGAGTTCCCAAATGAGGAATGCAAACATCTAAGACTCACACCATACCCTCTGTCCATATATCTAACTGTCATATTACTGCTAGCTTTCAGAGTAGAGGCTGTGCCATCCAGGATTACACCATCCTCATGTGACCTTCCTGACAAAATAAAGCCTTCGCTAAATCGTTTTTGCTTTTCACGTGCCGATAGGTTGTGCTGGAGTTGTGTCGCAATGATGATTTTGCCAGTCCGCAGGCCATTGAACCTCATCTGAGCAGAATAAACACTTACACTACAAAACAGAATAAAGAGGTGGGTGCTCTTGTTACGCCTCCATCACTCTTTGTGTCATTTGAATTTACTTATGTGCTTTTTTGTTTGTTTTTGCTTTATAAAGACTTCCCATACTGAGGCAAAAGCGTCAGTAACAAACTTCCTGAAACTTGTTCACACTTTAGTGAATGATCAGTCTCAGAGGGATGTCTTTTATCAGGTGAGTTGGCTGGCACCTATTTAGACACGTTATACATTTAAAAAGTAAACTGATCAACTGATACATGCAGCTTAACCTAAATATAACCCTCAAGATCTGCAGTGACATCAAAGGGGCCTGCTTGTATTTTGTGACATATCACAACACTTTTGCCTTTGTTTTATAGAAAATCTTTCCAACAGTGTTTGGCCCCAGTTATGACTCAGCCCTGGAGGCGCTAATGAGAAAATTCCTTCTCAATCTTCAGAACCTGTTGCCTGTTCCAAACTTTGAACAAGTGGGTACCTGACATACAGTAATCCTGGGACAGATAGAAATACTACAAATAAGAAATAAATAGAACAAAATCTACACAGTTCACATCCATGTTGTCATTCTGGTAAAAATTAAAGAACATGAACTGACGTAAGAGTATACAAGGCAGTTTGTGGTAAGTTGGGGCAATGCAAGGAAATGAATCACAACTGAAATGCAAGGGTTTATTTTTCCTGTGAAATATTTGTTCCTTTCCTAGACATCCCTTTGGCTCAGTCTCTCCCCTTCTATTTTGAAAGTCTGCAACCTCTGAATACACTTATTCAGCATCACAAGCATCATGGGCATGAAGTTCCACAAGGTAGTGCTTAGAGGGACTTTCACTCAAATTCCAGTTGTCTCCTATATTGTTTATTTTTCATTTGTTTTCAGATAATGACACTTTTCTCTTTTGTCATTTTTCTAGCCCTGTCTTCGTCTGGTGATGACTGCATCCTTTCCAGCCTTGCTTGTCACCTACCAAAGGTCGACAATGATGAAGGAGACAAAGGTGTCAAATCTGGTCCCACGTGTATCACTGAAGACAGAGATAACTCACTTAGAAGTGAGTCTAAAAAGGATACAGAAGAAAATGTTGAGGAAATAAATTCAGATGTGGCAAGGAAGGCGGGAAGAAATGGAGCGCGGGATGTGGATGATCTGTCTGAAGACCAGGGAGCCTCTGTTGAGGTAATACTTGAACCTTTTGATGAAAGTGAGTCTATTGATGATAACGACCAGGAGAAAAAATGGGTTCACCATTTAAAAACGTACAACAGGACATCCTCTAAAACCTTCAGGTGTCATGTTTGTGGCCAGAGTTTTGGTTCCCATAGTAAACTAAAAAGACACAAGATAGCGCAAAGTGACTGTTTGACGACAAGACGGGCTCAGTCAGATTCTGCTAGCCAAAGTGGTTACTTTGAGAAGAGCAATTTACATCCTAAACCTAAGATTAATGCCCTTAGAACTGAGAATGAATTTGCAGGACTCTCAGCAAATAACCTGTCAAATATGAAGAATCTACCAAACTTTGAGCAGTCTAGTGGTGACTGTACTCTCGTTTGTCGTGCTTGTGGCAAGGTTTTCACTTACCCAAAGAATTTTGACAAACATCGGAGGATCTGTGTGGTTGGTAGTAAACAACAGGTACAGACAGACCCACAGTGTTTTATAAGCTTAAGTCATCACTCCGAATCAAACCCTGTCGATAAGACCAAAGAGTCTTTGCTTAGTGAAACTCAAATTGAACCTTCCAGCGTTGTTCCACAGGAATCAATGTCTTCTGACCCATGTAAAAGAAGCAGCCGTGTCAAAAAATGCTCATTATGTGGGAAAATATTTACTCACTCTATGGACTTAACAGGGCACATGAGATGCCACGTTGAACTGAGTCCTTATGTTTGTTCTTATTGCGGGAAAGACTTCGACAACTATGAAGACTGCCAGATGCACAAGGAAGGTGCATGCAGGGTTTCAAACCAACATTCACAAGCAAAAGATGAATTCACACAGGAGAATTCTTCAAGCAGTGGAAATAATAATCAGGAGACTACAGGTGTTTCCAGGGCTGTAGCCGAGGTCCCAGCAATTACAAATGCACCTGCCAACTCACAGGCTTCTAAATTGTCTATGACTTGTCAGGAATGTGGCCTGCGTTTTTCTTATCGCAAGAGTTTTGAGAAACACCAGAGCAAATGTTCTAAAACATGTTTTCGAAGGAAAAGGAGAACAAACACTAACTATCTTGTTATCGGTGCATGTAATGTACAGTCAGCTGGCAATACCAATGACAGCACTGCTGAGACAAGTTCTGAAATAAAGGAGTGTAAAACTGCATCACCTCCAAATTCTGCAGATCATTCAGATGACTCCCAGACCAGCCCTTGCACCATCAAGTGCACCATGTGTGAGAAGAACTTTTCAAAACTTGTCCTCATGAAAAGACATTATTCTAGGTCACATAAAATCAGAGGCTCATACCCTTGTCCATTGTGTAAGAGAACTTTTGTGAGGCTATGTGAATTGGTTCGACATCAGCAGAACAAAAAACAGTACCAATGTGCTACCTGTAAGAAATGTTACACAAAGCCAGGACTACTTCACGAACATGAAAAAGTTCATATTTCATGCGTGGCACCACACATTTGTGAAACATGTGGGAGAAGCTTTAAGACTCTCAATTGTCTAAATCTGCACCAGAGCAAACACAGAGACCAACAACCTAATGTTTGTTCTTATTGTGGGAAACAGTTTAGTAAAAGAAACTGCCTGAAAGCCCATATGGTGAGGCACACAGGTGGTTACCCGTGCCATGTCTGCGGAAAGAAATTCTATCAAAAAACATACCTTAAATGGCATCTGTACAAACACACAGGACAAGCGCCGTACCTCTGCGACACTTGCGGGAAAGGCTGGCCGAGTGCAGCTCAACTCGAGCTTCACATGATTCAACATACAGAGGAAAGGCCGTTCAAGTGTGAAGACTGCGGTATGTGTTACAAGAGGGGGTCACATTTGGTGGCTCACCGTAGAGACAAGCATATCAGATTGCGGCCATTTGTGTGCGACGTCTGCAACAAAGCCTTTAGATTAAACAGTACGCTGAAAAAACACATGATGATTCATACAGGGGAACGGCCATTCTCGTGTCCAAGATGTGGACAAACATTTACTAGGAAGACTCGACTTAGAGAGCACAGAGAAAAGACATGTCTGTAACTTCATGCTGCTTGTGGACATGTCACAATGTGTTAAGTTGTCATCAAAATTCTACAAATTTATAATATTTGATAAAATGTTATTTTTGCTTCATAAATAATTTAAGTGTTTAATTAGGTTTTAAATTTGCCGTGTTACTTTTCTGTTCTATTACCAATGAATTAATTGTCCAATAAATCCTTTCAGCACTAGTGTGTATATATTTAACCTTATACTGTAGGTTGCAGAAAAAGCACATCTCCACCAGAGAGCAGTGGTGATTAGGGGGCTGCTTCAATTTCATCAGCCAGAATCACTAACTATTTAATGTGCAGAGTATATCATTTGATAAATTCTTAATTTTACAGACCACCTTCCTTTAAATTTAGACAGGCAACAGATTTCTATGAAAGCATGTACAGCTGTCAAAATGCAAATGACTATTGGACAGCAGAACAATCTGAAACATGAGAATGATTATGTAGGACTGCAACCTTTGTAAGTTGTGAAGATAAATATGTCGTTAATGTTACATCTTTTGATGTCTCAAACAGCAGATCTACTTTGACTGTGTCCCACGTCTCTGCAAAGCACAGAGAAATCCTTAGTCTGGGATTTTCCACTTTGTCTGTGTTCCCACTTTGTGCTAATTAAGAAACAGTGTTGTAGGCAGGGTGGTAAAGAATGATAAGCAGCTTTTTTTTGGGGGGGGGGGTACAAGGACAATTGTGAATTGTGTTAGTTCTGTTTAATGATAAGTGCAGAAATGGAAGAGGAAACTATACTTTTTATTTCTCTGCAGTTGCAGTCCCTGTTTGTTTGTAGATAGAACTGAATGTACAGTTTGGTTATATGTTCACATATTCACACTACTTGATAACAGGCAGTTATCAAGTTAAGAGAAATAGCTTCTGGTTTCAGGCACAGGTAACGCAGCATTATATAACACATTGAATCAAAGAGTTTTCCTAGTTACTGATGAGGTATGACTGCTGTGATATTATGGAATAATTCCCTGTAGACCGTGATGCAATGGTCCATACAGTGTCAGTCATTTTAAATCTGTAACTCCTTCTGGAATTGATACAGGTATTGCTTTTGATGTGAACACATCCATTTCATCACCAAAGCCTCAAGAATCCAGACTGAAAATCTCTTAATCTTCGTGTACAAAAACTCCAGTATTACATGTCAGCTTTTTTTTTGTTTTTGCTTTAATGTCTAACAGTTGTTCAGTTTTCTGCCCATGGGAGTCTTCATAGCTAGTCCTATACACAGGACCTTCAAATTAAAAGTATAATTTTTATAAATTTACTGACTTGTTTTGCAGAAAAATGTGTATCTAATGCAATCTGATTGTATCCTCTAGGAATGCACATGTAGAGATTTGGCAACTAGATGTTTCTGGAGAGTCGTATTGTACTTACTGCGCCTTTTGTTAACATTTTAGTTTGAACTCTTCTAAGAATGTTTCCTTTTATTGTAATTTTTAATTTAAAACCTGACAATCTCAACCTTTTGCCCTTGCAGTTATTATGTTATGTGATTACAGAATTCTACACTGGATCTATAAAGCTGACTGGAGAAAGGAGCAAAATAGCTTAATTTCACAGAATTATTCAGCTTCTTCAGATCCTTTCCATTTATCCTGCAGGCTTTTAGTTTATCTTTACATAGACTTCATCACTATCTGAAAAGTGAAGGCATAATTTATCATAATGTCCTGTGCAGTAACTTTGTTTCATTTGAAGAATTCACACCAAAATAAAGTTTGTGCTATGACATAAAAAGTCATATCCACTCTTTATTAATTTATAGTTACATTGAAAGAGAGACATGGTATGACAACATAACTTTTACTGAACTGACACTGAAATCTTGTAGTTTAAAAATGCCGAATGGTAATGGTTTTAGTACCTGAGGATTCCTCGCAACCCGAGAATTAACAAACATTAACTGGTTTAGCTAAACGAATAAAGTATGTCTCAATTGTTAATGTCAAAGTTCTGATGAGGATTTTAAGTGTACAAAAAAAAGTTCTGGCATTTACATTACAAATAGGACACAGGTTTGAAAGACTGAGTGGTGCAATGCAGCTTTGATTGAATTGAATTGAATCCCAGGTTTGCAGAAGTGTTGAAGGGATTCAGACTCTGTGAAGTCTCTTACTCAGCAGAAACATCCTAAAGCACTGGTGCACTATAGGAGCTGCATTGGTGATGCCAGCAACAACTGCCATTCTATAGACATTAATCATATCCACTTAATGGATGCCCTCGACTGCCTGGCATTATCTGCTGAGAATATACATTTTATTGTCATTGGCAATATGAGGGATATCCGCACCCAGGCCATTGGTGACAGACTGGATACTGTGTGCGGTCTCATTCGTTTTGTTCCCTTGTACCCAACAGAATTCATTGCATGTTGCTTTAATTTCAGAAAAAGTGGAATTAGAGAGTAACAGTGACTCAAGCAGAAATCTCTCTTCCAGTATAAGTGGTCCTTGGCAGTGCTTCTTTTCAGATTGCAGTGGTATCTTTACCCCTTTTTGCCCAATGTGCTTCCACGCTTACTATAATTATGACCCATAAGCACATCATCATGCCGTTTTCTTCAGCTTGGGAGGCTTTTGAAAAAGGCGTGATTTCTCAGCTGGCATGTAGAAAGCACATCACAGCCAGGAGCCTTTCCCACACTTCTTCTAAGTGTGGCAGAGAGAGAGAGAGAGAGATGAAAAGAAAGCAAAGAGAGTGAGAGCAAGCAAGAGATTCTGGGAAGATGCAGTTTCTTGCAAGCTCTCATTAAAGACATCTGTGTGTCTTTGTCTTTAAACCGTTTTGCTAGAGAGGTTGGTGGGTGTTCTGGCCAGGTGACACTGATGGCGGACGTTCTATGCAGCAGAAGTATTCAGTAAGAGTCCTGGATATAGCGGTGCTATTTTTGCTCTGATTTCAACTCTCATGTTTTATTCAAGCCTGGGATGCATCAGCACAAGCAGGCCTACATGCAGCCTTGTAGAGGGGATGAGTACTTGTTTGTGTTCTGAGATGCAGGGCTGTTAGTCTATCACATGATGAGCTGAAATGTCAGTCATGGTGTTGTGCTTGTATGTGTTTGAGGGAAGGAAGTGGTGGCTATAAAAGAGATATCCACTGGGAGGAACAGAGAACTGATACTGTTCTCCTGCCACTAATTTTCACCACTTTGCACTTTTGCTAACAGCTCTAGTGCGGCTACAAACAACTAAAAACATTACAAATTAATCAGCCTCTGCACTGGCTCCAGACCAGCTTGTTACTCTGAAATTACCTTTCCCTTTTAAACAAGGACTGGCATCTTGAATTAGTTATTCCAAATTATGCTTGTTCTTGACCTTGTATTCACCTTTAACTGCTGTTTGAATTCCAACCAGTCATTTCTAAATGATTTACACATTAGTGAAATATAAATGCGTAAGTACATGTACTTTGCTTTTGTTTAAGCTGCATTACGTGTTTCTGTAACATACTATAAATCCTCAGTTCAAACCAGCTGCCATGTAAAAGCTCTGCAGCAGAAATGTGTCCCATTCCACCAAGCATCTGGTGTGTACAGATTGCACTCTTGTGCTTACTGTACACAGGACTTGCTACACAAAGCAGCAAAGAAAGAGAAGCAGGGAGTGTTGGGCGGTTGAATGAGTTGAGTTTTGCTTTTTTTTTTTTTAGCTTAATGTGGCTGCAACGCTGAACCTGATTGAACATTAAATTGTTCGTTGTATATACCTGTATCTATTGAAGCTTGTATGTGCGCTTGCTTTTAATTTTGTAGACAGCTGAATTTTTATGGAAACACACTTTTGCTGGAAAAAAAAGCCAGAGAAAATCTTGTGTATTATCTCATCTGCCAACAACTGCAATGCAGCAAGCAGCAAAGAAATAGAAGCAGGGAGTGTTGGACGGTTGAATGAGTTGAGTTTTGCTTTTTTTTTTTTTAGCTTAATGTGGCTGCAACGCTGAACCTGATTGAACATTAAATTGTTCGTTGTATATACCTGTATCTATTGAAGCTTGTATGTGCGCTTGCTTTTAATTTTGTAGACAGCTGAATTTTTATGGAAACACACTTTTGCTGGAAAAAAAAGCCAGAGAAAATCTTGTGTATTATCTCATCTGCCAACAACTGCAATGCAGCCATGGCTGGGCTTCGGCTTTGTCTATTTGCATTCAGGCCAGGTACAATGGTGGGAGCTGCAGCCATCAGTGACCCCCACAGCTCCACACTGCACACAGAATCCAGCTGTTCATCAAAATGAACATCTGTCATCTGTTACAGTGGGTGTGCTATGATGGATGATCCAGTTGAGAAGACCCCCATGCCTGTGGGTTCAATTTGACCATCTTTGTGGAGACTGCAAGGTGCATACAGGAAAAACTACAAAATGAGTTATTACTGCATTCCAAATTGCAACAAACTGCATTATTCATAAACATGGTATTCACGAGGTGTGACCAAATTATGGCATGAAGCAAGTTGGGAACACCTTTCCTTTTAATGAAAGTAAATGTAGATTATCTCCTCATGCATTCATTTTAGTATAATTAAAACAAAACAAAAAAAGCCCTCTGCTAAATTTCACTCTTTGTCAAATCACAACATACAGTAAAAGCATGAAAATGCGGCATTCACTATACTATAAAACACAATTATACTTGCACCAGTCAGACTGTTTGCTTCTTATATGTATTTGACAAAAACAATATGGTCATCTATTGATTTCATGGAGTGTTAAGAACAAAGGAGTATTATCAAAAGGGCTAGAATGCAGAGACAGAAGAGATGAAGACACACAGTCAAAAGGTTAGGTTGAATGCATGAGCAGAGATGTTACAAAACCAGAAGGGATGTTAGTGGAAAATCAAAAGAGCTAGCTCCTGTAACTGGGGGAGTTTTGTGTGTGTGTATGTGGCATGACAGAAAGCAGATGGGGCTGTAGTTGGGCTGTTGAATGATGAGCAAATAAAAACAGTAGACAACCAGTAAAAATGAATGCTGTATCAGCATATGCAGCACTAACAAATGACTGATATACACACACTTGGTGCTCATAAATATGCACATTAACATGCACACAGCTCTGCCTTTTGGCTAAAAATCCATAGACAAGATCCATAGGTAAACAGTAAGATAATCTCTCAACTGCTAGTCCAGGTGACTCTGTGTGTATGTGTAGCCCACTTGTGTGACAGTGTGAGGACTGATTTGAGTTTTATACCATGGGAATGAGGACATTTTGGCCAGTCCTCACTTTCTGACACACCTTCAAATGGCTATTTGAGAATCAAGACTTGGTTAAGGTTATAATTAGGGTTTGGTAAGGGTTTTGGGTTAGACATGATGGTTAAGGTAGTCAGGGGAAGGGGCTTGGGAATGCATTATGTCTGTGTATGTCCTCACAAAGATAGCAGTAAAAGCATGTGCAGTATGTGCGCGTGTGTGTTCTTGTACTTGCTATAGAGTGAGGACATTTTGGCTGGTCCTCACTTTGTGAAACACCTTTTTGAGGGTTAAGACTTGGTTATAGGTTCAAGTTAGAATTAGGTTTAGGTTAGGTTTTAGGCTTTTAGTGTTGGTGGTTAAGGTTCAGGGGTTTGGGAATGCATTATGTCAATGAGTGTCCTCACAAAGATAGAAGTACAAGTGTGTGACCGAGCTGACAATCTGAAGCTTAATGTAGGCAGTAATGACTGAAATCAAACCTGCAAAGTAGGTCAATCATCCATCTACACCTCCACCCTTTAATGCTTAATGACAGGTGACACAACCGTTGATAGCTGCACAGTAACTGACGCCATTATATCATTATGCCTTTGTGACTGTGCGCAGGGCCATTTAACTGTGGGGCAAATTAGATTAGAGCAGACACTAAGCAGGACAATGCCATAAAGCAATGTTTCATACATGCTCACTGATTCCATTAAAAACCCATAGGGTATGTCACTTGTATCTCTCACAGAGATGTCTTATCCTTACATGGGCTTGCTAAGCTTAGATTCAACATCAATGAATAAAGCAAACTATCAGCTGTTTCCACACTAAACAGCAGAGTTGGCTGCGAAGCTTCAGCTCATCTCCAAATGATCACACACCGACACGCTCACCACACATCAAAATGAATTACACAACTCAGTGTCAGTGCAGCATATTTCAGACTGGCGGTGTCTTGATTATAACGTGAAAAGTGCCTTTTCTGCTCTCTGTGAAGTAGCAGGTCATTGATAAAATCATGTCATAAAGGTTTTAATGGCGCCAAAAGAAATGTTTGTAATTAAAAACCATCGATTCTGGCCTCTTGTGTTGTTCTTTGCACCGTTTCTGAATGTAATCATCAGACTATTAAGTTGTCTTATGAGCCATTATAATGATCCCAGAAAAACAGAAAAAAAACTATAGCTAGCATCTGGTTCAGAACTACACAGAAAAAATTGCCTAGTTCTTGTTTCATGTTCATTGGCAGCCGTCGTCATTTATTATTATTATCAAGCACCTGGACACACAACCATAAGACTTTTGGTTTCCTTGGCAATAAGCAAACTAAATCATGCTCCACTTTTTCAGGTGGAAGTGAGTCAACAGTGCTGCTTTACAGTCGCCCCCGTACCATCCTCATGCTTTGTATGAGCTCAGTGTAGAGTAGAGAAATAAAAAAGAGGCACAGAGACAGATGACAGTGTCCTGCCATTGACAACACACTTGTCTCCACTGACCAAACACTCATCTTAAAGGTAAGATTTAGGAACACACCTGAGCAACCCCAGTGCCCCATTGCACACCTGGGATCTGCTAATATATGTAGGAGCCATATTGTTGGCAACTAAGAAGCTGCACTAGAGCAAGATGGAGTCGCTTTTGATTGAACTGATGACCCTCACAATCAAATCAACCTCTATAGTATAGACTGCTATTGTCCTGACAACATAAACTCTGTCTGCTGTCCTTTCAAAATAAAATACACTCATTCATAAATGATTAGTTGATTAACTGATTCAAGAGTTCAGTCATTTCAAATGTGAGGAGTTGCTACATTTCACTGTTTTATAGCTTTTTAAATAGAACATCTCTGGCATTTGGGACTGTTAGTTGGACGAAAACAAACAAAAAAAAATCAGCAGATGATTTCATACTGACGTATTTGATGACAGAAGACACTCAGAGCACAGTGCTTTGTCATTCATAAATCATTCTCCATTACAACAAAAGATGCTTACAACGGCATGCACCAGTGTTCTAAACTTTAGTTTGTTTTTGTTAAGTTATCCACAAAACAATGAGCATTCCTCTTAAAAGAAATCCACAAAGAATACTCACATCCATGCACTCAGTGGAGCAAATCTACTATATGATGCTAGCTGAAAATGAAATAATATAATGTAGATATTTGTCAAAACAAAGACTGAAAAACAAACCCACACTACATGTTCTATGAAATCCCTTAAGGGTGGTACTTATTTCACACATTTTTGCTGAGTGGATAAATGGGTGTGACTGCAGCTAGATGCTGGGTTTTATCTATAAAGTTGCAGTAGCTCTCAGCACTAATATGTTTTGTGTCCTGTATTTCAGAACATTGGCACCAAGGGAGCAAACTGTGTGGGCACATGAATGAATGAGAAAATAAGAGAAAAGCACATTTTGAGTGCTAAAACATCTTAAAATATTATGAGTGAGTGACACCATGAGTTCTATTTTCTGTTTAAAAAGAGGGCTGGTGGATGCACAGAGTTAGTGCAAAAGATATGAATCCTCAACACAAAATGTTAAGTCACCATGGTAACAGGGGATGCAACACGCTCTGTAATGGATGATGGAGACGGAAGACTATTCATCATGGCACCATTACGGGACTTATTACAACAGTTTAAAAGGCGGTGATTAAAAAGCTACAAAATGTTGAACAAACCGGATATGCCATACGATTTTATGCACCACGACCGCTGCCAAAGCTTGGGCTACTACACTTCACGTTGAAGCTTCTTCTTATTATGTAACTGCGTTGAAGAAATTACCGAGCGCTGACGAAATCAAAATTCACACCCGAACGATATTTAAGGCTATATAAAAAGCTGGTTAATATTTAAAACACCATAATATTTTACGCCGGAGAAGCAGCATTAGTCCACAAAGTTGCATAACACTTCGGTCACATTCCCCCATTGTTTTACTAAAATATCTAGCTATTTTTGGACAGAAAAACCTAGAAGCAAACTATAACGCAAGAATGGTCCGTAAACCCACAAGGATATTGGCATGTGGGATGTTGTGGAAATGTTTCATAAAACAGCAGCGCGTCTTGAGCTAAAATCCTCCACCCACCCCCAGTCCACCCAAATAGACATTTGGCAAAGCATCTAACAAGTAGAATCTGGGGGCAGGATGGATGATGGATGGATGGATGGATGGATGGACGGATGGATGGACGTGCCCCTACCTGCTCGCAGGTTGAAGGAAAGCCGGGCGTCAACGAGATATGGGGTGTCACTCTTAGATCGAAGTCTCCTTATCGGTCGACGGTCTGTGCTGCTGTCCGGAGTGGTCGCCATCAATTTGAACCGGTGTCCAGTAATGACTGCTGACCGACTGGGACAGACGCAGACTCACGGCCACTCACACTACTGGGAGATAGCTAGGATTGGAGGAGTTCACACACCGAGAGAGGGAGAGAGAGAGGGAGGCGTTGGTGGAATATGGCATGTGAGGACAAAAGTAAAGATGGCAAGATATGAGAAAATAGGCAATAATAAATTAGGAAATGCTCGGTTTATAATTTAAACCTAATTTATAGCCCACCCTGTTAACACCCTAATACTCAGAAAATAATTAAAACGAACAATTTGTAATCATATGTGTATATCCCCTATAGATTTACACTTTCAATGTATATTTATTTTATTTCTCAATTTAAAAGTTACAATTTTAGCTTGATCATAAAAAGCAGAATTGCCAGTATTACAATGTAATGATGTATAATTATCACTAATATGAATAAGTATGACGACAACAATGACGACGACGACGACGATGATGATGATAATAAAAATAAGCATAAACTTTATTGCCAAGTATTTAAAAAAATACAAGGAATTTGACTCAGCTCAATAATAATATAAGATGAGCTAAACATTAAATGAGCATAAAATCAGAAAAAGGAGACAGGAGTGGGATCTTCTGGCTTGTAAACTGTTTTTACTGCTTCTGTTCAGTTGAGTTCAGCTCAGGTAGCCTATTAATTTTTCCCACAAGGAAAAACAAAACACCCGTTTGTATCAAGGCATCACAAAACAGTAAAAATACAGTAAGACGAGACTTTAATGGCAATGACATGTACCTTCCAAACTTTGTAAATGTTGTATGGCAATTTTGGCAGTGTGTCATACTCTTGGTATCTGAATTTTTAAGAAATTGCTCTGTCTCTGCTAACGTAAGCAGGCGGGTGAATGAGTCATCCTGAATGAACCGCACTTACAACAGTCTACCAGCAGATGGCGCTCCTACACAACACAGCTTCACATCTTTTCATCTGTTGGGCACATTTTTTTTAGAGCCGGATTTACGACGGTTTGGAACATTTACGGCCTCTCGAGGAGTTGGAGCGATAGAGGTAAACAAGAAAACTTGTGGCGAAAATATTACTAAGCAAGGTAATTACGATAAAGTCGGTTCGGTCATTTAATGTAAATACGCATGCCACTGTCCTGTGTTTAGTTGATGTCTCTTGGAAATTTACGTTTGTATGTTACTTTCTGCTTATGTGACGAGATTTGACCCCTATCGTAACGTTAGTTTACAAGCAACGATATGCTAAGGGAGTAAGCTACATCATGAATTTCAGGCTTTAGGGTGCGTCCAGTTGCCTGTTTTTATTTACAGTTTGGCTTCGTAGGTCGTTTAAAACATGTCTTACTTGCTGAAGATCTTTTGGTTTTAAAATGAGTTTTGATCAAGTCTGTCCCAGTGTTGCAATTACAGGCTTTGTGTAGGCCAAAAACATACCTGCTCTGAGTGCACAACCACATAGGTGGATTGCTACGTGAAGTGGAACATAAAGAGTGGTAAAATAAATACTCTGATCCTTTATTCAGGTAAAAGTAGCAAGACCACAGTGTAAAAATACAAGTAAAAGTCCTGCATTCAAAGTGCACTTAAATAAAAGTACTTATTATACATTGATGCATATTATTCAGGGGTAACTACTGAAGCTCTGCTGTGTACATTACATTTAATGTTGCAGCTAAGGATGAGCTTTTTAAACTATATGCTTATAATTTGAAGTGCTGATGGATGGCTTTGTGAATTTCCCATCAGGGAAATTCATTTTGTGTTTTCTTTCTTGCTTTCTATGTGTTCACCTGGTTGCCTGAAACATCAGTGACAATGCTCCTCCAAAATCGAGCTGTGTTTGCAATTGGTCTTCGCATGGGCTCCACTCGTGTGATGAATGGACCGTTAATGGACACAGCAAGACCAAGCTCAGGTAACGCTGCTAGGTTTATATAATGTTGTTTTGCTGATGTCAGGTCAGTATCAGCCCTGTTAAACAATAGATATCAGCCAGTCAGTCGTGCCTTCCTGACAGGCACCATCGCAGCGATAGAAAATGATAAAATTAGCTTTAAAGTGTAAAGACCCTTATTTGTCTCTCTGTCTATTAATTATATGTTGCTTTTCCTTTTCCATTCCTAGACATGTCTGATTTCCGGAAGGACTTTTCCCAAGCCACACGCATAGCTATCATCACAGGAGCAGGAGTGAGTGCAGAAAGTGGAGTACCAACCTTCAGGGGAGAAAATGAGAAGTGGAGGAAGTGGATGTCTCAGGTAATTGATCCACAAGCGAAACACACACACACACACACTTGTTCATGGCTTTATATTGTCTTTTTATTTGGGTAAAACTCTTGTGTTTGGTCTGATTTTCAGCTGTGGTTCAGAGCTGTTCTTTTGGAGTGGGTGGTGTATTTTATGTTTATCTAATACAGCTTCACAGCTCAGTGGATTTATCTCAACAGCAGCTGCCGGGTAAAGAGAGAATGGTGTTTGTTGCACAATCAGGATTCATGTTGTGGGCTGCAGCAAATTTTACCCCAGGGAAAGAATCGACCCACAACATTTGTATGTTGATGCATTCTCAGGACCTGGCTACTCCTGAGGCCTTCTCTCGCACCCCATCTCGGGTCTGGGAGTTCTTCCATTACAGAAGGGAGCTGGTGTTGAGCAAGAAGCCCAGTGCTGTACATTTGGCTATAGCAGAGTGTGAAGCTCGGCTGAGGAAGCAGGGACGCTCCGTGGTTGTCATCACCCAGTGCATTGACGACCTTCATCAACAGGCTGGGTCCAAACATGTGCTCAGGATTCATGGTGAGAGGCCGAGCTGGGCCACATCTGTTAGCCTGTTAATGTGTCCACAGAGTTAGTCACTAATGTCTGTGGACCAACTGAAAAAGTGTTTTTAGGTGAGATCAGTTCAAGTCTTAGTTCTTCAGGAGACAGTTTTGTCAGGCTTTTAAGGTGGATTATGACAAAATTATGTTAAAGATTTGGAGTGATTTCATTTTAAAAATTCTTTCAGCTTTAATTAGCTAATCATGAGTCAGGACATTGTCAGAACACTCTGTGGCACAGGACATGTTTTCTGCGATTCTAGTGACTGAAATGAAAAGCAGCTGTGTTTTCTGCGTGTAACTGCAGGCAGTCTGCTGGAGACGCGCTGTATGACTTGTAGACATGTGACCCTAAACAAGCGAAGCCCCATATGTCCTGCCCTTAAGGACAAAGGGTAAGAGGCAGCACCATTTAGGTATACTCACACTGACAAACATGAAGGGTTTGTGGCCTGGTTTCTTCAGTTGGATCCTTACATGGGCAAAGTGCTGTTTAACCCAGTGTGTTTTTTTTCTGTTTATGTACAGTTCACCTGACCCAGATGTTGCTGATGCCCAAATTCCTGTGGATAAACTACCAAGGTGGGATTACTTTCACATATTAATAATGCTGAGGTGATGGTTACTTTTATTAAACAGGTGCACCTTTGTGTGTGTGTGTGTGTGTGTGTGTGTGTGTGTGTGTATGTTCTACGTGTCAGCAGTATCGCTCTCTTTCTTGTAATTGTAATGCAATTGAGGAACAATTGTGTAAATATCAGGAGAGATGTTTGGGTTGTTTAATTTTGTGAGTGGAAGTTTTACATGGAAAAATCCCCTACCTCTAAGGCACAAATACCAATATGTTATAAAATAAGGTTTGTAGTGGAAAAGAAAAATATGAATGAACATGTAATATACATACAACTCTATGACAGCATACAGAGTGATGTAACCTAATAAATGATCATTTATAATAAGTGAACATCTTCAGTAATATCAGAAAGTATCTTTAGTAAGTAAACACTAAAACCCAAATGAATATGGGAGTTAAATTAATAATAATAGTAAATTAAATCAATGTTGTGCTGCACAGTTTTTTTTAAATTTCATCTTTGGAATAATAACTAACTATCAAGGAGATCAGGGTTTCTACTTGGGGCAGTGGTGTGCTATAAGACTTTCCTCTTAGACCTTAGGGTAGAAAATGTTACCAAAAAAGTTTTAAATCAAATGCACCAATGGACATACAATCAGTGAAATACTGTCTGTGTGGATGAACTGTATGCTTCTATGTTATGGCCAAATATTCTGTGATAAATGCAGCATGACACAATTAACTAGGTCAGAGGTTTCTAAACATTTTCAGACCATGTATCAAGCCAAATTTCTCACTGCAGATACCAAGAGAGAGCCACCTCACCTGTGTAAATCCACCACTGCCTAGTAGTACTACAACTACTATTACTACGAAGTGTCTTTCTCATAAACTAAATTTCACTGATTTAACCATGCAGTAGCCTCAGAAAGGCTAAATAACAACAACAGAAGGCTACTTTTTTTCAAAATAAAAAAAAACAACACATTTATTAATCAGAGCCTGAACAAAAATCACTCTGTTGAAACAGCTTTTTGCGCTTGCAGCTCTCTCTGTGTCTCCCTCTGGTTGACTGGCCCGGTCATTATCCTTCTATCTGTGGATTGCACCAATGGGGGAATGGAATTAGGACCAAAACTTCTGTTTACAACCATGAAAAGCAGGCAAACTAAAGGCCCAGTCAGACAGAACACATTTTGAAGGTTGCAAAATGCACTGCCTCTTTTGTTGAAGCCCACTAAGAAAACCTAAGAATCCAAACTAAGTGACATGTTCTCCCTGTTCTATTCATCAGTCTCCTCTTTTCTCTTTTTGTAATATGGACAGAATGGCACCTACACACGCAGCCGCTACACACAACAAACAGCCATGGTTAAACATGTGATGTGCATACTGTATATACTCGAATAACTGTTGTCTGCATTAAAGTTATATGACTATTTTGGTTTCAACTTGAAGATTTCAGCAAGGCTCCAGTGTACCACAGTTTGGGAATCACTGGTCTAAGTTGAACGTTTTGTGCTCCTTTATCAAGGTGTAAGGAAAGTAAGTGCCATGGCCTGCTGAGGCCCAATGTGGTGTTTTTTGGAGAAACTCTGGACTCTCACATTTTGACCAAGGTGGAAAAAGAGATGGAAATCTGTGATCTCTGTATGGTGGTGAGTTATCCTCATTCTTACAGGCATACATGTCAGGTCGTCCTCTTGTATAATGGTGTTATAACGCACTGTTTGTACAGAATTGGTGGATTTCAAGTTGATATTGGCGCCACTGTCCTCTGTCATTCACCAACAGGTGGGCACGTCTTCTATAGTTTACCCAGCAGCCATGTTTGGCCCCCGAATTGCATCCAGAGGTGTCCCAGTGGCAGAGTTCAACTTAAGTTCAACACCAAAAACTGAGTACTTTAAGTAAGTCGGTCAAGAACCTGAGTGCCTGTTGAAAAGGTTTAGACTATAACACCCTGTCTGGTTCTACAGTTAATTAAGTTGGCAGGAAAATATACACTTACCAGCCACTTTAAGAGGTACATCTGTACACTTTTATGCAGTCCAGTGCAACATCTGTATTTAAAAAGTGCTAAATGTTTCAGTTTTTGGTGAAATTGTCACAAATGTATACATGCAATTATATGTTTATTATGGAGATCATAGTTAAAGGTGGTGTTATATTATATTCAGAGGTGTTCCTAATATTCTGACCCTTTCGTGAATGTGGCTGGGGAGGACAAAAATACAGACACCTCTCAACTCAGTAAGTTCATCTAAAATTTTGACCTTGTCTCTTTGTTTTTCTGTGTGTGTGGTGTGACACAGGTACCATTTCCAGGGCCCCTGTGGAACTACACTGCTTCCAGCATTGGCCCCACATGAGTCAGAGATTAATAACTGACTTTACAGACAGTAGTCACTGGCTTCTAATACAATCTAAAGCAATCCAGAGCTGTAGGGATTCATAGAACTTCTTCAAATCTATGCCTGGAAATCAGATGAACAGTTAATGCTTGGTAGAGGACAGGCTGTAAATAATTTAGCTTTTTTACAACTTTGAAATAAATCTCTTAATACTTGAATATATAACTCACTGAACTGGAAATAGTGCTGCTTAGATTTAAGCAGGCGCCATGCGGCTTGATATAAAAAAATGGAAGGCACTGTCAGTAGTTTTTTGCAGAGGATAACACCACAGGGTGTTATTTACATATTATATGGTGGTGAGGGATCATTGTCTTTAGATACACTGTGCTCTAAATTTATGATGTAGACCAGAAAAACACATCACTCCTCTTTTCTCTGGCCACCGGATGTACAGACCGTAAAGCAACCTTGTGCCTTTCAAAGCTGTTTTAATCAAACTTGGCCAAACGCTCTCTTTAAACCTCAAGTGTAAATCAGTGTTACTGAGGCAATGCCAAATGTACAGAGTGTGCTGCTGACCGAGGACGGGTGGGTTAGAGATGGGGTAGAAAGGGAATATGCTGACTGTTCGCTCCTAGCCCAGGTCAGCATTATTCCCTTCTCATGCTGTTTGATTGTGTTTGTTATTGTCAGTTTTATGTCATGGATTAATGATGATACATTGTTTGCAAAGGTCAGTGTCATATTCAACGTCTGTAGATGGAACATCTGTAAAATTGAATACAAAAATCATGCACAGTTTAAAACTGCTGATGCAGTGATACATGGCATAATTATTAAAACATTACATGTACATTTGCTGTTTCTGTGTCATTATCTACACTGAAAAGTCCTGAATGGCTTTTGTTGAGCTACAGTGGAGTGTGCTATAGTGTACATGCTCAAAATGAACAGTAGATGTCAGCATGGAGCTTTGTATCAAAACTGTAGCCTACTGTAAGTAGCAACATGTATCCAAAACTTCCCCCTACCCACTCAGAGTTCTGTCTTAAAGGCAAATATTACACAACCACCTTTCCACTCCAGTTAATCAGCTCGTGGTCTCAGATTTACATTGCAACCCCAAGGTTTAGAAAGTTTTGTGTATCCTAGAGGTACATTTGTTTTTCTTCACTGACTGACGGGACTAACCTGGTTAAGTCATTCAGTGCCAATGAGAGAGACAGAGGGTCGGGAGTCATTCACATTAGCTGTGGAAGGTTATGTTGATTAGGCAGTGTTATAGTAATGTAATGATAGTTATAGTCATCTGAAGAGATCTGGGTAGAGTGTGAGAGAGAGAGTAGTGCAGACACACAGGTACATAATCCATGTTTGGGGTCTCAGGGGAGTCACTCAGGTTTTGTTCATGTCACAGCCTCTGTAGTTTCACCAGTCACATTATAGCATTTTTAGTTCCTACAGTACTGTAGCACCACAAAAGAAAACCACAACCATTCCACAGTTGTTTGTTGAAACAGCACATGTGCTGAGAAAATACCTGGGGGCCAGATGCATAAATGATGCGTGCACACAAAACCATGGCCACCTCTTTTTTTAAACACAGAATGTGCGCATCTCACGCCTACTTCAGATTATGCATACACACGGTTTGAGTATCTGTGATAAGGTGAAATAGAAATGAAAAATAAAGCGAGACACCCTTTTAAACGGTTTGCATCATTATAGCAGTTTGAATGTATTTTGCCTTTGTGTTGGCCTTATGACTTGTTCTTATTTCTTTTGCTTTTGCCATTTTCCTGATTTTCATTTTAGACTTGAATGAGTTTGTAAACTGCTGATATTACTGGCATTGATTCATTTTCGTTTAATCACTATTGACATGACTAGACTAACAAAGTCTTTTCAGGTGTGTGAACACATTACAACGAGCTGTAGCTGTGCGTAATGGCCGTTCGTTAAAAGGAAGGCTGTTCTGTCGTTACTGGAGGGTCTTGATAATGCGGCTATAAGACGAGAAAGCGAGTTTAGAGATGGTTCTGGTTCCCTGTAAAGCTATGTGGCCAAAACTACGATGCATTCATCCACTATAGATAAAGCAGGAGGTGAGGAGGTGCTGGCCCTCCTCCTGTTGCGCTCTCTTTGTGTATACACTTTGTATGCACCTTTCAGCCTCTGTCTTAAAAACTTTTTTAACCTCACGTATGGTCTTTGAACTGACAGCCTCAGTTGTTTATTTGTTTTTTTGTTTTTTTGCCACTTCTCTACGTCATTCCCGAAGTGAGACCCCCAAACAAATCTTTTCTCCACCTCTCCAATCACTCTCAATTTCACACTCGATGTCTAATAACACATGGTTCAGACAGCGCTGTTCTATGCAAATGATTGATTGAGGACGTATCTATGTCCAACTGTGGCTAGAGGTGGGCGTGTAAAAGAAGCTTGTGTACGATTTAGATTTAGAAAGCACAACCAGGCCTACTTGCGGATTTCTAAATCTGACGAAAACAATGCGTACGCTCACTTCTGTCCTAGTACATACAAACTGTTTCAGTCACGTGTCTACACAGAGTTTAATGCATTTGGCCCCAGGTGTTCTGTCTCCACCGCGGTGCCTCAACAATTAGCGTCCAAATCAAATCCTTCTGCTTCCCATAAACTATTTCTACCTGTTAATGTATATCATCATTACTATGATTAGATTTACTCGTTTCCTCTTCCATTACAGCTGCTTCCCTTCTTCCCTTTATGGAGAGATATAAGTCCTATTTGTCATCAAAAGTAAAAGGTACACGGAGAGGCACTTAAGAGAAGCCTCAGCCGTCAGATGCAGTCATTTCTGGGCTTGATGTGTCAGAGAGCAAAACCACTCCACTCCCAAGTCCTGCAGCTCATCCATCAAGTTAGTGCAGAGGGATGAAATAGCGGACCAGTTCTTGGATGACCTAAAAGCCTTCAGGTTAATGGACTCATCATCATTGGTGGCAGCTCTACAACTGTCCCTCTTTTTGAATGAGGAAGTAGACTGACTTAGAGATGGTATTTGTGTGTGGGTATGTCAATGAGGGTTTTCTTTCTGTAACTGGCACAAGTGTCAAACCTAACCAGGTCAGGCTGGGTGAGGACCCGAGAATACCACTACTAGAACTTTGTGAATGTCTGTAAGGCACAGCATGGCTCTTTTTTTTTACATTTCAGGAGTACAGGACTTATTTCTAAACTGAACAATCTTATTACTTATATTACTGCTTGGAAAAAAAAACCGCCACAATAACAGATATAGCAAATCAAAAAACAGTCACTTGTTTACCAGCTCATCATTTGAAATCTTTTCCAGTCTTTAAAAACAAGTGGGAAAACTGGTAATGCTGTATTTTACAGGTCTGCTCTTTACAAATCTTTTCTTAAACGGTTCTTGTAAAAAAGTACTTCAGTTAGTCCACTGAGTTGTGTTGTGTTTATTTTTGTCTTCTTGGTGAATATTCATAAAAGATGTTGCTCAGTTTAAACCTCACCTAATATTTGCTATTCATATATTTGAAATGTTAAAAAAAAATCAAACTAGTCCTTCTATCAATTGATGAGCTTCAAAAAATAGGTAGCTTTTTGAAAATGAACATTATATATAGTATAGTATTAAACCTTTAAAAAATCTTTTTCAAATATTTGTGTTGTAGGAATATGTTCCAAGACTTGTCTTAAGTGTAGAAGTGCTGCCAAAGCCTGCTGTGACCCAGAATAGCACTGCCAGCAGTGCAGAGATATTAGCTTCTAAAAGTTCTTCTTTTGTTTGTTTGTTTGTTTGTTTTGAGTGGGATTGACTTCTCTAACCAATCAGATATTTTCAATTATTTCTGCTTAATCAGTTAGGTTTTGTTGCATTCTCATTTATTGTAATTTCATAACAAATATTTGAAGAACTGGGCAGATAGTAGGAGACTGTATTAGAGCACAGTGGAGCAGGGAGAGGGAGCACTGGGTGGAGCACAGTGACTTGATTTGGAATTTAATGCTAGTGCTACCTTACTGTATACTGTAGCTTTAACTATTCAAGCTTAGAAGAAAACATGCTGGCATGGGCTTATGAAGGCCAAGGTATTTTCTATTTATAGCAACTGTCGATTCACAATGCAGGACTGGAGACTGGGACATGTCTGGCATCCATGCACAAACGCACACACACACAGAGTCAGTGCTACCAGCACACGCTGATCTCCTCATGGTCTCCTTTTCCTAACCTTTCCCTGAACTCTGTGTTTAGCAGACTTGGCTAGGATAACAAAGGTTGTAAGTTAATCCTTATGTTGCCATGAGACGCATCCTATAAAAGTAGCACTGTCACTAATCACCATTCTCACACCCCGCTTTGAAGGATCCACCTGTCCCCACCCTTCAGTGAGTTTATTGTTGCTTTATTTTTTGTCCTTCATGATGAAAGCTTAATATTCCCACACTGAGATAAACTATATACAGCAACATGAGGAAGACATCAACATACACTGACTGAGGTGTTTTTCCCTGACCCACAGCACATCTTTGAATTATGCTGACACTGGTTTGTCTAGGTAGCCTGATTGGAAGGGAGTTGTTGTTTGAGAGAGGTTGAGACAGGGGGCTCAGGTGCAGGCTAATCTGCTCTAACCCTGCACTAATTAGGATCAAGGCTAGAAGCCACTTTCTTTTGGTTATCGATCATCGGTCCCACCTCACCCACTGAAGTATTTTGGCTCTGTGAACAGAACCTATCTTGTTTGTTTCTTTGAAATTTGATATTCATTTCCTAATCAACATCAGGCCTTTCAGAGTGTTGTTGGATTTCATCTCTAATTAGCCTGCTCTATTTTTTCTTGTTTCCTAGATCAGTATTCTTTAGACAACCTCATCTGACCCACTCAGTATTCATTAATTACCAGTCTGCTGACCAAGCATAGTTGCTTGGTTTACATTTTATGACGGTTATATGGCTAACATGCCAACAAACAGTTTCTGATTTTGTCATGGTTTGGACTCCGCTTCCTGGTTTTGGGTTGTTGTTTTTTTTTCTATCTCTCCCTGCTGCTCCGCCTTGTCACCTTAATCAGCCATCATTGCATTCGCCTGCCGCTCATTACTTCCCGGTCTGGCTCCATATATATATATATATACACCCTGTTTTTCGCTCATGCCCTACTGGTTCATTGACGCTCTTTCAACGCCTGGAGTTGTTCCTTGTTTAGACCTGCATTCATCCTGTATTTATGCTGTGTTCCTCTCCTGTTGATGAGAGACTCCTGTCACATTCCT